CCAGCCACTTGAAGTGAAGCCTTCCACCCTAAAACCCAAACCTCCCAGCCGGGAGCCTTGCCGATGATGCGCTCCACGTGGACCACGAAGAAGCGCTGGGAGATGAAGCCTTCAGTCTCCCTCTCGTGCCCAAGAAAAAAAAAAAGGGTTTAGGGTTTAGGGTTTAGGGTTTAGAGTTTCGGGTTTAGGGCTTAGGGTTTAGGGTTTAGGGTTTAGGGTTTAGGGTTTAGGGTTTAGGGCTTAGGGTTTAGGGTTTAGGGTTTAGGGTTTAGGGTTTAGGGTTTTTGTGGGCTCCCTCCGGAGGTCCCAGGAACCACAGGCAGCCCCATGAGACTATAAAGAGCGGAATGGCAACAAGAAGAACAAGAACCGTCAGAGCAACAACAGCAATCGCCACAGCAATATGGCAAGAAGAACACCCTAAACCCTAAACCCTGAACTGAAAAGGGTGTCGGCAGCGGCACCGTCGTGAGGTAGCAGCTCCACCGAGAAGGTTGCGGAGCTGGCGCCCGGAGGGAAGACTGCCAAGCCCTTGACTTCCTTGAAGCAGTTCTCGGCCTGGGTGAGTTTTGCCCAGGAAACTCCAAAAATCGCACTCAATAATTCCTCATAAGGCCTGCACCCTCTGGGTTGAAGGAGCGAAGTTTTAGGGAGTGCTTCGGGGCGGTGGGCTCGGAAACAGAGGCTGCCTCATCCAGAGGGCTCAGCAGAATACATCCCCTTCGGCATTTCGACATGGGGGTTTCCGAACTTAGGCGGCCCTTATTGGGGGTCCTTATGGTAAGAGGATCCGACTATTTGGGGGTCTACAGTAGAGGTCCCTTACTTTCGTACACCCCCACATCAAGCGGTCTGTATAACACGCCTTGGCGGTGCCGACGACGGTGGCGAGCTTCACGCTCACCTCAGGGAAGACCGAGGTTTACCGACTCCGACCCTGTGCCCGGCCCCCTAGGAGCCCAGGTCAGCATAATTGTTCAAACATGTTGTACTTTATGTTTTGTTTCTCTTTAAAATATCTATATATATATATATATATATCTATATATATATATATACATACTCCATAATATATACGATAAATACACAAATCTGTATTCTGTGCATATCTACACACTCTACAGTATTTCCGACATGTTCCATAGTCAACACATGTCAAGATCCCCACCTCGCAGCTCAGGTCCCCAACACGGAGCAGCGTGACGTCGATGCTGCCCTCGGTCTGCCTCAGCGACGCTCGTGGCCCGGCGCAGGGCAAGGACGAGCTTTAGGGTGTATAGGGTTTTTTTGGGGTGGAGTTTTTTTTTGGGTCTCTTTTTTTAGGGGGGGGGGGCCTTTTTTTTCTTGGTCGATTTTCTTGGTTTTCTCTAGGAAAAACCTACTTTCCTTACATTTTGGACGGATTTTCTGTCATTTCCCTTAGGTTTTCGTTGGGTTTTCATAGGGACAAACCTATTTTTTTTACATTTTGGACGGATTTCCTGTGATTTTGTTAGGTTTTCCTTGGTTTTCCTAGGGGGAAAACCCTATTTTCCTTACATTTTGGACAAATATCCTGTCATGTCCTTCGTTTCTTGGGCTTTGAGGCACGCTTGGTACGGCTTAAAAGAAGGGGGGGGGTTGGGGGGGGGGGCACAGCCCCCCCGCTTGCAAAAACACCTCTTGGGCTTGAAGAACGCTCTGCACGGCTTCAAAAAAAACAGAGCGGGGGGGTTGGGGGGGGCGCAGCCCCCCCCTCCCCCATTTGCAAACACAATGCTCACCCGATGTTTTTTCAACTAGTTTCTTGGGTTTGAAGCCGTTGGTACGACTTAAAAGAGCTGGGGGGGGGTTGGGGGGAAAACACAGCCCCCCCCCCCCCATTTGCAAACACCCTGCTCACATGACGGGTCAACAAGTTCTTGGGCTTTGAAGCACGCTCTGCACGGCTTGAAAAAAAAACGAGGTTTTCGTTGGTTTTTCCTAAGGAAACCCTCTTCTGGATTAATTTTTGGACGGATTTCGTCAAACGTCAAAGCGTACGTTGCTTTTCCTTATTTGTCCTGGGAAACCCTATTTGGTTTGTTTTCTTGGTTCCTATCATTCCCTTATATTTCATCATAGGATAGACATCAAATTTTTTTTCAATTTCTTTTCTTGGGCTTTGAAGCACGCTTGGACGGCTTAAAGAAGCGGGGGGGGCAGCCCCCCCCCCCCATTTGCAAACACCATGCTCACATGATGGGTGTCAACAAGTTTCTTGGGCTTTGAAGCACGCTCTGCACGCTTAAAAAAAGCGGGGGGCGCCAGCCCCCCCCCCCCCCCCCATTTGTAAACACAATGCTCACACGATGTTTTTCAACTAGTTTCTTGGGCTTGAAGCACGCTTGGTACGGCTTAAAGAAGCGGGGGGGGGGGGGGGGGGGGCGGCAGCCCCCCCCCCCCTTTTGCAAACACCCTTCTCACATGATGGGTGTCAACAAGTTTCTTGGGCTTTGAAGCACGCTCTGCACGGCTTTAAAAAAAGCGGGGGGGTTGGGGGGGGCGCAGCCCCCCCCCATTTGCAAACACAATGCTCACACGATGTTTTTCAACTAGTTTCTTGGGCTTCGAAGCACGCTTCCTTTCTTCCTTCCTTGCTTCCTTCCTTTCTTCCTTCCTTTCTTCCTTCCTTGCTTCCTTCCTTTCTTCCTTCCCTCCTTTCTTCCTTCCTTCCTTCCTTCCTTCCTTGTTTTCTTCCTTTCTTTCATCCTTCCTTTCTTTCCTTCTTTCCTTCTAAAACCTACCAGAAATAACGCTTTCCTATGAAACCACAGAGAAATTGCTGTTTTTCGTAGGAAAAACCACGAAAATGTATCCAATCCTTTAAAGATATGGAGGGAATGGTGGTTTTCTTAGGAAAAACCAAGAAAATCTACAAAAAACAAAAAAAAAACAAACAGAAAAAAGACCCAACAAAATAGGCCCTCCGTTTTTTTTTGCACCCGCGTAGCTGACCTCTCGTATAGGGTTTTAGGGTTTAGGGTTTGCGGGTTTCGGGTTTAGAGAGTGAGAGAGGGAGAGAGAGAGAGAGAGAGAGAAGAGAGAGAGAAGAGAGAGAGAGAAGAGAGAGAGGAGAGAGAGAGAGAAGAGAGAGAGAGAGAGAAGAGAGAGAGACGAGAGAGAGAAGAGAGAGAGAGAAGAGAGGGAGAAGAGAGAGAGAGAGAAGAGAGAGAGAAGACGGACGAGAAGACAGAGAGAAGAGAGAGAGAAGAGAGAGAGAGAGGGGGATTTAGGGTTTAGGGTTAGGGTTTCGGGTTTTCGGGCTTTAGGATTTAGGGTTTCATATGGGGCCCCCAAAAATTCAGAACACAAGGCGCGAAAACTCCGAGCCCTCAAAATTCCCACAGAAGCTGAAGCTCAAATCGGGCCGCTGTTTGGTGATGGTGTGCTCGGCGAAAAACAGCACCGAGATGCCCGGCAGCGGTAGGAAGCGGGCAGGACCGCAAGAAGATTCCTGGACCAAAACAAACGAAGTCCCCACACGCTCGAACTTGCTGCAAAGGTGTGTTTAGGGCTTAGGGTTTAGGGTTTAGGGTTTAGGGTTTAGGGTTTAGGGTTTAGGGTTTGTACCTAAATGTACCAGCATCCTAGATGTGCAGCAGCATGCGAAAATGTACGAAGCGCACTGCAGTGGGTATCTGAGGGGTTGCTATTTGCCACCTGCCTAGCTGACACTCCGGATTTCGGTTCTGCACACGGACTTGGTCCGATTAACTACTACAACTTGGGGTGTTCCCCCTTATACTAACAGTCCTTATAGGGAGTATAGTAGGGGGTACTATCATGAGCTAAGGGCTGTTAGTGTTGGGGGGACATCCCAAACTACAACAAATCTTGAAACACAAAACACTCTGTCCTGAATAGGCGTTTAGGCTCAACTGGGGCAACACGATCAAGGGGCATCCTTGCACATCATGCCTATCCAAACAACCCACAACTTGCCCCACCCAGTTCACTACCTTAATAAGAGAGCTGACTGGCCAAACGCAAAGACAAGACCAACGCTAGAGATCACCTTCCACAACCATAGCCAATACCAGTTTAGGGTTTCAGGTTGGTTCTCCCTACGCCCCACACACCTCATCGAAGGCAAACCCGAAACCCTAGACCCTACCACCCCCCCTTACTCCTCCCACCCTAAACCCTAAACCCTAAACCCTAAACCCTCAACCCTTATTGTGAAAACGTATCTAAGGCAGGCTTGGGAGTCCTCCAGCTCCCAGGCACTCACTTCTTCCTTGACCTCAATCTCGCGCGACCAGGTGCGCGCGGACCAGAAATGAGCCTCTCTCAGAGAAGCTACCCCGTTTTGGAACCCTAAACTAGGGTTTAGGGTGTAGGTTGTTTTTTTGGCCACCCGCCTGGCTGACTCAGAGAGACACTGCCTAGGGTTTAGGGTTTAGGGTTTCTGCTTTCGGGTTTAGGTTAGGGTTTAGGGCTTTTTCCTTGCGAAATCAATAGGCATTAGGTAGAGGATGAGGGAAATAGAGAGGAAATGGGGGCTTGAGGCTCTCAAGTTCAGCTTCTCAGGATGCTCTCAAGTTCAGCCTCTCGGGCGGGGGGGCGGGTGGGTGGGGCCAAAAACAAACTGTTCTTTTTTCCCCCCCCCCCCCCCCCCCCAATGAATCCAGCATGGACCCCCCCCCCAATGAGGCCAGAATGGGAACTGGTCCTCCTATTGCCACGTTAGTTCCAAAATATGTCGAGTCAGTACACGTACATTCGACATCCCAGACATAATTACAGACAAGTAGACCCTGAGATCCTATGTCTTCCTATTCCGAAAGCATACTCCATGTAGCTGCTGAAAACCTATGTTTCTTGAACCCACAAAACGCAGGCCTCCACGGCGTCCTTTTCTGTTAGGGTAAACCCTCCCTCCAGTTCTTGTTTTCGGAGGACTTGAAGCCCTAGCCGCAGAGGCCCATGTGCAGCAACCCAGCAGCAGAGAGCTTCGGCCTCGGACTGCCAGAGCCACAGGCCTCAACGTTCGTTGGTATTTTCGCTCCCTAGGCTAACAGTCCTTAGTAGAGATTGTAGTACCCCCCGATTATAATCCCTATTAAGGACTGTTAGCAATTAAAAAAAAAAAACGAAACAAAAAACATCCCAGCCTCAACGTCCCAAACCATGCCCGAGGTCCCCAAACACCCCTGCCTTGGCATTCTCCTTGGAAAACTCGTCCATTTTCTGGCAGAGAACCGAGGCAAGCCCCTGTCGCTGGTTGGGCTCCTCCTCCTCCAAAAAAACTTCATGCAAGGGCCCGTCTACTACTACGTAAGGTTCATGGTTACTTATCATCCCAACTAGAACTGTACTCATATGTTCTAAGTAGGTTGTAAGTACAGTTATAATTGGGGTTATACGTACCCATGAACCTCCAAGTACTGTGGAAGACTTGGGTACTTTGTTGTGTGCTTCTGGGGTTGGGGCTTCCAGGTTCTTGGAGCACACGCGGGTCCACAGCATCCTCACCACCTCAGCAACCTCAGCAACTCGGAAGAAGCCTCAAAAAGTCACCCTAAACCCTAAACCCTTAGCCCTAAACCCTAAACCCTAAACCCTGCAAGCCAAACACGACCTCTGCAAAGAAAGCCCTACTGCCAGAGCTCCCCCTCTCCTTCTGGCCCTGGGGAAAGAGAGTACCCGCCAGCTCTGTGAGGATGGTCGGCTTATCCTTGAACAACAAGAACTATGTATGTGTATGTGTAAATATATATGGCTACAATGTCTATATACATATACACATATACATATCCACATGGTATGTATAGTTGCTTATATTCCCTCGGCTTCTGGCCGACAGGCGTCTAGAACAGTACTTCCCTCCCCCGCGATGCGCACACGACACCCCGTGTTGGGCCAGCCCGGCGCACACAAGCGTTGAGAATTTATACTATACTGCATGCCCACACAAAAAGATATGTCCTAATAGCTAACATATGCGCAATATAGCAGCTTGTAGTGCAAATATGTTTACATGTTTTTTTTAATATATACATATATACCTATCTTCCCAAGCTGCGCCCACACAGAGGGCATTGGGCGACTGGGAGTCCGAGCGCTTGAAGGCCTACCAGCCGAACTGCCGTCAGGCAAGTACACAAGGCTTCGCGTGCAGGAAGCGGCGGTGTTCGGCGCAGGGCGTTGGAAACTTCATGTTACTGATGTTGAAACAAAGGTGGGGGGTTGTGTTGCTGCTACGGCTTTTGGCGCTGTTGTCATTGCCAGTGATGTTGCCGTCGTTGCTGATGTTGTCGTTGATGTGCTGGCTGCGGCGGTTCTGATAGTTCTGGCGGTTCTGGCGGTTCTGGTGCCTGTTGGTGCTCTTCTTCTTCCTTCTTCTTCCTTCTTCTTCCTTCTTCTTCCTTCTTCTTCCTTCTTCTTCCTTCTTCTTCCTTCTTCTTCCTTCTTCCTCCTCCTTCTTCTTCTTCTTCCTTCTTCTGCCTTCTTCTTCCTTCTTCTTCCTTCTTCTTGTTCTCCTCGTTGCTTTGCACTGCATGCGAAGCACGCACCCAGAGGGGCTCTGTTCCGACCCATGATTTTGCCCGTGCTACGGGTGTCTGAATAGACTTGTCGTTGCTGTTTGTTTCATGTTGCTGTTTTCCTGTTTGTGCTTGTGCCTGTTGTTGGTTGATAACACGAAAACCCAAGTGAAACCCGAATGGCATAAACCATGGCATTCTGAATTGACTGTGTCGGAAAAGCGGAGGGGTCAGGCAAGTTTCGTTTTGGGGCGCACTCCCAAAGCGTGCTTGTGTGATGCATTAACATGCTTGGTTGCATGAATGCGCACAGGCCAAGAACGAAGAACCAAGTTTGGGGAGAATTCCCAAGAGTGCGTGCAAGAACTTTCAAGCCTTGAGAAAAGCCGAAAAGCACGATCCATTGCACCACCGAGACCATGCGGTTGCTACTGCCATGCCGATGGTCTGATGGTGCTGCTGCTGGTGCTGCTGTTGGGCTGCTGTTGCTGTGGGCATTTGTTGCTGTGCGTTGTCGCAGTGGCGGGGGGGGGCAAAGCAATCGAAAGGTTCCAGCCCTTAGCACTAGCACTATTATCGCTATCAATACCAGCGTGGCGTTTTGCATTAGTCGTGCTCTTCGCCCTGATTCTTAACCCAGTATCCGTATGAAGAACCGCATCACAGATGAGGGTTTCCGACTATTTGGGGATCTATATTAGGGGTCCCTTTTCGTCGAAAACCCCCACATCACTTGGAGGTTCAGGGTTCTTCGTAACGCATTATAAGTGTAGTTGTAACCCACATATAAGCCGCTTGAGTACCCTGATCGGGTCACAATTGGGTTATAAGTACAGTCATACTTGGGTTACCGTAGACCCAAAAACCCTAAACCCTAAACCCTAAGCACCATGAACCTCCAAGTAAGGAGCGCGGGAGCTTCAGGGCACAGCCAGAGGCAAGCGTCGGCAGTTAGAGATGTGCAGAGCACCTCCCACAACATGACCACGAGGACCTCGGCTCTGCCAGAAACCGAGAGCCCTATTCTTGGGGTTAGGGTTTAAGGTCTAGGGTTTAGGGGTTAGGGTTTAGGGCTTAGGGCTTAGGGATTAGGGTTTAGGGTCTCGCACTCGCTGAAGGTTTAGGCTTTAGGGTTTCAGAGCCAAAGGCCGACGCTTACAGTGAACAGGAGGGAATCTTGGGGTCATTCCCTGCACTGCCCTCGCCAAACTCCCACCATTTTGTGCTTCAGAATTTAGGGTTTAGGGTGCAGGGCTTAGGGGTTAGGGTTTAGGGTGTAGGGTTTAGGGTTTAGGGTTTGGGGTTTCGGGTTTGCCCCTCCAGTGTTTCTTAGGCAGTTCCATTTCGGGCCTAAAAAAGCCCAAAGTGGAGCCAGAGCCACCCCGACGAGGATCGATGCCAACTTGGACAGCTGCTCCGGCTCCTGCCAAGTAGGGCATCATGGGGTTAGGGTTTAGGGTTTAGGGTTTAGGGTTTCGACTCTAGGGTTTAGGGTTTAGGGTCTAGGGTTTAGGGTTTCGGGTTTCGGGTTTTGGGTTTCGGGTTTGGGCTCTCCTGGACGCACTAAGGGTTCAGATTTTCGGGTTCAGGGTGGTTTAGGGCACGAATCAAGGTCTTGGCAGCTGCTTCGGTTGAATCGGATCCAGTTCCGGTTCAGGGCGCAAAATGGCTTGCCTCCATGCTTGGTTGCGAAGGTGCTAGTGACAGTGGAGTCCGATTGACCGTGCTTCAAATCGGTAGAGTCCTACAGACAAAGGAGAGAGCGAAACGAGGGAAGGGGGGAAGGATGGATTGAAGGGTGGAAGGGTGCAAGGGAGGGAGGAAGCCGGGGGACAGGGGAAAGAGGTAGCGAAAGCAAGGAAGAATGACCGATCGAATGCAAGTGAGCCTTGCCGCTGGCCATCCACCTCGGCCACGGTACGTCCCACGGCATGTCCCAAGCCAGTGGAGTTGCGCACGCGGCCTCGCGCAGTCACTCGGGTCATGTCAGAGGGCGCTTTGAGCTGCACGAGCCTCCGAACAGATTCTGGAAACACACGCAGAGTGCAGACATCTGACGATCTCAACGATCGCTCCCCTGGGCAACCTGTTCGTCTTCCCTTTTTCCTTGGGCTGCTTCCTTCTGGGGCCCCTGCAGCTGTTCTGCAGGATGGATGTTCCTGGGAGTGCACTGACACAGGTGGTACCGTACGGTACAGTGACCCAGCACCTCAACGAGCTCCTGGCGTTCACAGAAACCAAAAACAAACAGCCGAATTTGCGGCTTGGCAGAATAGCCCAGAGAGATTGAAACTTGATATCTTGAAATGCTCTCCCTGCTTCGCAGGGGACTCAACCCTCCGACTTGGGCTCAGCCGGCTCTGCCTTGACCTCCTTTGGTGGCAGCAAGTTCTCCCAAATCGGCTTCTGAACCTCCCAGATGCCTTTGGCGCATTTCTGGAAGGTGGCCTTTTCGGAGTCGGTTAGGGGCAGCACTGCCACGCGCTGCACACCCTGGCTCGAGAGGCTGCAGGGAAGGCTCAGAAAGACGTCGCCCTCCACGTCGTAGAGGCCGCGCACGCAGGTAGAGACCGGGATGATGGTGCGGGTGTCGTTCAGCACAGCCTTGCAGATGTGAGCGGTGGACATGCCGATGGCCCAGTTGGTGTAGCCCTTGAGGCTGATGATGTCGTACGCAGAGTTGACCACCGACTTGTGGATCTTCTTTAGCGTCTCATTGGGCTCCTCGCCCGGCTCCAGCAGTGGAAGTGCGCCAACGCGGACCGATGACCAAACCGGGATAGAAGAATCCCCGTGCTCACCGATGATGTAGCCGTGGACATTCTTGGGATCCAAATCAATCGACTGGGCGATCAATGTCTGGAACCGGGATGAGTCAAGGCAAGTTCCGGCTCCGAACACCTTGCCCTGCGGGAAGTCAGGACCCGCAAGCTTGGCGGCGATGGCCGTCATGATGTCGCACGGATTGCTAACAATGAGGATGGTTGCATTTGGGGAATACTTCAATACCTCGGGCATGATCTTCTTCATGATGTTGGCGTTGCGGTCCACCAAGCTCAGCCGCGACTCGCCTGGCTGCTGGGCGACACCGGCCGTGATAACGACCATGTCCGAATTCTCGCTGACATCGTAGGTGTCCGACGCCAGAATTGTAGTGTGCTGGTGGAATGCACTGCCTTGCTGGAAGTCCTTCGCCTCGCCCTCCAGCTTCTTTGCAGCGATGTCAACCAGCGCCAGTGTCCCGCATATGTCCTGGTTCAGTATGGCAACGACGCAGCCCAAACCGACTTGACCCATTCCCACGACGGTCACCTTCTTGCTGCTGTGGTTGCCCAGCGGGGTCTCTCTGGCCGGCTTTTGGGGGATCGCCTCGTCGTAGGGTATGGTGTTCACTGTCTTTGCCACGCGGAAGTCAACAAAGTGATCACGGAACTGTGTATCCGGCTCCACAAGGTTCGGCATGGCACCCACGACCCTTCGCCCTTTGCAAACCGGGCGAAATTTGGGGCAAGACAGGTGGCGAGCTTGGAACCAAGGCTTGAGCAGTTCAGCAGTGTGGGCCCCGCTGCTTTCTCGGAATGAAGGCTGAGCGTATGGGCCTAAGGATTCAACTTGATCTGTCGATCCACCATGGAGTGTATATAGCCTTTGGGACAGATAAGGTGCTTTTCCAAGCATGCATGTACGTGCGCGCCGCGCTCATCGGGTGTGAAAGATTCCTGCCGGGCACCTGCAATTGCAACTTACGCAGCGGACCTAGCAGACGGCGGAGGTGTTTTTTTTTCCTAACGTTGGCCCTGGCTCGTGGTCCTTGCTAACGTTGGCCAAGCAATGCCTGGCTCTAAATGCTATGAAATGCAGCATTTCCGGGTGCTTGTAGGCCCTAAATGCCTAAAAACACAGCATTTCTGCCTATTACAAAGCTTGAAATGCTGTAGATTGCAGCATTGCACCTGCTTGCAGGCTCTAAATGATGAAAACACAACATTTTTATGCTATTCTATTAATGCACTATTGTACATGATTGTATATTCTTGAATGCTATTGATATTATTCACCATTCTTGTATATTACTTCATTCTTGCATAGTCTTCTTGATTGTTGCACTTTATTGAATGTTTTGTATATTATTGTATATTTTCGTATATTGTTGTATACTATTGAAAATTATGGTATAATATTGTAAGCTATTCTTATGTATATTTTTGCTTATTAGCGCGTGTTGTTGCGTATTCTTGAATGTTTTGTATATTATTGCATATTGTCGTGAATTATTCAAAAATCTTGAATATTGTGGAATATTATTGTATTTTCTTTATGGTAGTATCTTCTTATAGCTTACTGTATTTTCTTGCAAAATATTGTCCATTCCTGTATGTTGTTGTATATTACTAAATGTTATTGCAAAATATTGTATATTATTATATTATTGTATAGTATTGGATAATGTTGTAAATTGTTGCATGCTCTTGTATATTATTGTAGATATTGTATATTGCTGTGTATTATTGAATATTATTGCATTGTCTTGTATTTTCCTGTACATTATTGTACATTAGTGCATATGGTTGCATATTATTGAAAATTGATGTATATTCGCAATATTCTTGCATACCATTCTCAGTTCTTGTATATTGTTGTATGTTGTTGTATAGTATTCTATGTTACTGTATATTATTGGATATGACAGTGAAATATTGTAAATTGTTGTGTATTGTTATATATTAGTGTATATTCTTGCATATTATTGTATATTATTGTATATTATTGTACATTGTTGTATATTGTTGTATATTGCTGTATATTGTTGTATTTTGCTGTATATTATTGTTAATGTTTTTTATTGTATATTACTGTATCTTCTGGTCTATAGCTGTATTTTTGTAAATAGTTGTATATTATTGTATATTATTGTATATTAGTGTATATTATTGTATGTTATTGTATATTATTGTATATTATTGTATATTATTGTATATTATTGTATATTATTGTATATTATTGGATATTATTGTAAATATGTTGAATTCCTGTATATTCTTGTACATGATTGTACCTTCTTGTGTGTTGATGTTTATTTTGCAAAGACATTGCTCGAATCATGGGTTTGGAAGGGGTTCATATGCTTTAAAGCAAGCTTGCCCGGCTTAAAGAACAGCGGGGGGGTTGGGGGGGGGGGCGCAGCCCCCCCCATTTGCAAACACAATGCTCGCATCATGGGTTTGGAAGGATTCATACGCGTTGAAGCAAGCCTGCCGCCCCCCCCCCCAAAAAAAAAAAATATAATGTGCTGTCTATATTGTATATTTATTCAATGTCAATATCTAATAAATAAAGAAAGAAATGAATAAATAGATATTTATTTATATATACAGAGTTATTAATCTATAATATGTTTTCATAACCTATATGTTATAGTTTATTCTACGTAGAATAAATAAAACACAATACATATTTAGTATATACAAAAAATAGTTATATGGTATTATATTATATGTATATATTCTTATAAGCCATTTTTGTATATATGATATATGTATGTTGTCTATATATTTTCACGTATTATATGATACTACGTTATACTACAGAAATTATTACAACCAAAATCTGATTGCGGGACCGGGAAACGCGGGACCATACTACATGCCTTATTCTACTATTACTACGAAAACATATTACATTGATACAATCAAATGACCGCGGTACCGGGAGACCACGGGACAGAGGACCAAAGGACCGCGGGACCCAAGGACCGCGGGACCCAAGGACCGCGGGACCAGAGGACCACGGAACCAGAGGACCACGGGACCAGAGGACCGCGGGACCAGAGGAGAGGACCAAAGGACCAGGGGACCTGAGGACCACGGGACCACAGGACCAGGGGACCAGATGACCAGAAGGCCTGGGGCCAACGTTACCAAGGCAAACAAGCCAGGGCCAACGTTAGGAAAGAAAAAAACACCGGGCCCCTAGCAGACCACATCCACACTCAGCGATCTAAGTACATCCCGGAGATGGAAGTATGGGCATTTCCCCCAAAGGACACGACTCTATACTTTTGACGGAAACCCCGATATGAGGAATTGACCATAAATGAAACATCCCTCTCAAGTCAACCGACTTCTGTACCCCTCCCCGCCAGCAGTGGAATCCACGAGAGCCGCCATCTGCGCATGGCGCCGAGCTCTACGTTTGTTCGTTTGTGTGCCGAAAGAAGCAAAATGGTTTGGGTCCTGGGTTTGGGTTTCAGGTGTGTCCTTGGGCGTTCGCACAGCTGACCTCAGCATGTCTTGTGTCAGGCCCGCGCATGCGACAGCATAACACATGCAGAGCTATAAGTGGCCGTCTGAGCCGAAACCCAGGGTTCCTCACAGCCAATCGGAAGCAAGCGAAATCAAGCTGAGCGACTGTGCTGTCTATGTCAGACATGCGACATGCCGACTTGCTAGAGGCTCACGAACGACTCTGAATGGCCAGGCTGTGGTGAGCTTAGCTTCCCGAAGCCGCAGACCATAAGGCCAGTCAAAAACACACCCTACTCCACCCACCCCAGTCTAATCAAGAACAATCCCTAAACCCAAAACCCCAAACCCTAAACCCTAAAGTACTAAGCGCTGAATCCGTGCTTCTGGCGTCCGAGCCCCTGACTGAGAAGGTGGTAGCCATCAAGCTGGGGACGATCGTTACGAGGCAAAAAAAAGGCAAGGCTGAGCTGAAAGGTGCCCTCAGATAGGTGTCGTGAGAGGAATGCCTTTCAGTGTCTTGCAGGTCTGCTCCCTTAGCTGAAGTAGCTCAAGTGGCCATAAGTACCCGGTTACCTTAGCATCTACAAGAGCGTGACTGCAAGATGCTTGCCCTTGCGCATGGGAGAGCTCTCCGGTGTACTTGGGTGGCTCGAACCCTTCCATTGCATGCCGCAGTTGATCTGGAAGCCGTTGGCTCCCATGCTTGGGCCGAGATGTGGCAGCCAGACCGCAAGCAAAGACCAAAACACGACCTTGAGCCGACGGCTGAAAGATGTCTGTTGCCCTGCACTTCGATTCGACCGACCCCTCAACCCCAAACATCCCCAAACCCTAACGATTCCAGACCACGACCTCGCTTTTCTGCCCCCGAGATCACAGCCGCCTCCTGCGCAAGTCACCTCGCGCTGGCCGTGGCCTGTTGCGTGTCGTGGCCGGGGTGTTTGGGTCTGGGGCCCCAAGCCCTTTCTAAACCCTTCTTAGCCAAAAGGACTGGCCGAGAACCCGAAACCTAGAGCCGCAAAGTTTCGGGCTTGGGCTGCAGGCACAAGCTTGGTTGCATGTCGAGAGGAAGGGAGGGGGATTCAGTCTCTAATCCGTCCCCAACCCCGTCGCATGCCGGGTTGAAGCTTCCTCTGATTGCCGAACAAGTTCCTACATCTCTGCTCCCGAAGCAGGCTTTCTTTGGATGGGAAACCTACACTGGGAAGCCTTTAAGGGGTCTGCCCACACATGTGAAGTTCTTTATGGTTCCTAGTATGGGCCCTGAACAGGGGTCCCCGATTCTACCCCGTATAACCCTGTAGTTCTTTTATGGTTCTTGCCTGGGAAATCTCGGGTGCAGTCTCTTCACAATGAACCCGTCCTCGTACTCCGAAGGCGTCATAAGACGCCATCGCCCTTCGCCCTGAAGCTCCAGGACCACCTGCCACTTCACTGCAGTCCTAAACCCTAAACCCTACACCCTAAACCCTTTTTGAAGCTGGACTTGCTACCGTAAACCCTAAACCCTAGCCCAGTCATCAGGTCTTGTTTCTGAATGGTGTGCGGGGGCAGGTACTTGAAACTTCCTTGGGAAGGACCCAATCTGTGCCGGCGCCGCGTCATGGTACTTTGCCAAGCTGACGCGGTGTCCCACGCTGACCTGGGAAAGGCTATGCACAAGGCTCAGGGAAGCTGCTCTAAGCCCCCTTTTTTGCATCAGGACTTGTGCAATCTGAGCCCTAAACCCTGAACCCTAAACCCTAAAGCTGGGCACGACCCACTGGACTGTTGTTGTTCTTCCTGGACCCGCCAACAATCTTTCTTGGGCCGCCGGCATAGCCTTCGATGCGGGGCTCTGAGGCAAACCTTCCAGGGTGGGCTTGAGGTTTAGGGTTTAGGGCTTAGAGTTTAGGGTTTGGGGTTTAGGGCTTAGGGTTTAGGGTTTGGGGTTTAGGGTTTAGGGTTTCGGGTTTAGGGTGTAGGGTGTAGGGTGTAGGGTGTAGGGTGTAGGGTTTAGGGTTTCGGGTTTCGGGTGTAGGGTGTAGGGTGTAGGGTGTAGGGTGTAGGGTGTAGGGTTTAGGGTTTAGGGTTTAGGGTTTAGGGTTTAGGGTTTAGGGTTTAGGGTTTAGGGTTTAGGGTTTAGGGTTAGGGTAGGGTTTAGGGTTTAGGGTTTGGGGTTTAGGGTTTAGGGTTTATTTTAGGCCCGATAATCCCCGTAATCAACCCGATAAAGGGCCGTTTGAAGGGGGGTTATAGGGTATAGTAGAGGGCTTAGGGTTCGGAAGGAGTGCGCTTGGCGGCATTCTTGGGCTTCGGAAAATTTCGTTTAGGACCTTTTTGTATTCTTTGTGTTGGGGGGGAAGCTCTGTAATTGTTTTGAGGGGGGGGGGAAGTCAGCTCAGAGCTTGTCAAGCCTGAGGAACTCCCCAAGTCGAAAGCTCTAATTGCTCTGAGCCGCTGCTCATAGACGGTCCTCTCAGCAGCCAATGGCAAGGCACTTGTGGCCTCAGCGCCAGAAGCGCAACGCACAAAGATGCACCCAAAAGCGTAGGAGCAAAAGTATCGACGTTCTGGGGGGTCTGGGAGCCCCTTGCGGTGCCAAAGCTTCAGCGCTGCCGTTCCCAGATGTTCCGCTCTGTTCCGTGCTGTCTGAGGTACATTTGGGCATTTCTCAAAATAGGGGCACCCCTTTGAAACGAAAAGGGACCCTCATTTCCGTCTGTCACAAGCCACAAGACATGATACCGCTCAATCGATCCCAATCGAGCCTCATCCAAGACGACGAAACGCGGCTGCCTGAACATGCGCTTGTTGACTGCACATGGCGGTCAGGATGCGAGTTCAGATGCCACCAGACAACCGCCACCCCACTCTCTTGTCTTTTGGGGTAGGCGGGCGCTGGTCGAGCGCTCAGTGAGACCCTGCGAGGGAGCCCCAGGCGGGCGACCGAGCTGGCCTCCAGGCAGGCTTACCCTCCAGGCAGGCACAGGCCGAGACAGCAGTAGTCACTGTATAAAATTTTACCCTAAACCCCAGCTGTCCGCACACATTCTTTGGTTCCTGCATTGGAGGCCCCCTGGGAAGGCCCCTGGAGACCCCTGGGTCCCCAACCCCCGTCCGCTGGGCTGCGGGGACCAGGGGCCGTTTTGTTGGGGCAGGCAAGGCTCTCGCCAAAAATTCTCTTTTGCCATAGCTGGCCCAATGGCGCCTGGCCCTGGGCCCTGGCCCGCCCTGCCCCAACCTTGGCCCTGACCCTGACCCTGGCCTGGTCCTGGCCCTGGCCAGGGCCCCCTGGCCCTCCTGGCCTGGCCTGACCCTGGCCCTGGCCCTCCCTGCAGGGCCCTGGCCCTGGCCCTCTACCCTCAGATTCTTGGATTCCCGGCTGGTCCTTGGCCCTTGGCCCTTGGCCCTTGGCCCTTGGCCCTTGGCCCTTGGCCCTTGGCCCTTGGCCCTTGGCCCTTGGCCCTTGGCCCTTGGCCCTTGGCCCTTGACCCTTGGCCCTGCCCCTGGCTTTGGCCCTGGCCCTGACCCTGTCCCTGGCCCTGGCCCGCTGGCCCTGGTTCTGGCCCTGACCCTCTGCAAGCCCTGGCTGTTCTGGTTCTGGGCCTTGGCTTGTTTTGCGCCCTGACCCTAGCTCTGGCCCTGGCCCTGGCCTCTGGCCTGTTCGAGTCATCTTTCCCCCTTGCGCAAAGCCAAGCTGTCCGCGCACCAGCTTGTGTCCTGTTTCGGGGCGCTCTCCCTCTCTGGCTTAGCCCCTTCGCGCCAAATCCTGCCGCTTGCTGCAACTTTGTGCCTGGTCCTGACCCTGGCCCGGCACCCCACCTCACCCCCTTCGCGCCAAGCCAAGCTATCCGCCCCACTAGCCCTGTTTCCGTGGCGCTCTGCCCAACCCAAGCTGTTCTTTGTGTGTTCTTCTTGGCTGGAGCCCCTTCGCGCCAACCAAGCCTCGCTGCCTTTCTCTGTTCCTGGCCCGTCCCTTAGCCCTTCACGGACCCTGCCTCGTTTCCGTCTGCTGCAGCTTTGCGCCTGGTCCACGCACCTTGTGGAAATCCCCAAAAAGGGCGTGAGTGCTGACTCATGTGATGCTTTGTAAAAAAATAAAAGGCCTTAACTCCTTGAGAGTTGTAAGTGGGCGGTCTTGGGGTGGGTAGGTCTGCAGACTACCGCGCGCTCCCAAAGCGCGCTCCCGTTTGGCACGCCCTAAACCCTAAACCCCAAACCCTAAACCCTAAACCCTACACCCTAAACCCTAACCGCCCTAACCCTTTGCACCTCTCGAATGTCAAGAACCTGCCGGCCCAAAACATCGGCTCAGGGACGTCGTCAGGCAGCGCGCTGCTGCCAGGCGTTGCTGCTCACCCAAGGACAAGACGCGGGACCAGTCCTCATCCCGCGTGATTCCCGTTTCCCAAGCCCCAAACCATCCCAAACCAGTACTTAAGCTAAATTGGGCTGCAGCCCACCAAGAAAACACAAACCCTGCTTGGAAGCTGGACTGAGAGTGCAAGCCCAAGCACAAGTGCTGAATATCCCTAAGCCATGGGCGTAACAATTTCGCGTGTGTTGCACATGCGACGCTTCGGAAAAACCCCGTCGCTTTACTATGTTCCATGTTGCGCATCGAGTCGTGCTGCCCATTATACGTGGCTTTTCTTTCACTGTTGCCCCTTCGAGTCAAGTTCCACTATTCTGTGCCCAGGTACCTGCACCGCGCTGAAGCCGCCCTCAAAGCGCCCCGGCAGATCCCGGAGGCCGAAGCGGTCCAGCCTCATTTGGGGTCAGGTGAGTCGAAAAAACCCCCAAAAGGCCCCAATAGCCATGCTGGGCTCATGGGTCTCAGATGGCGTCCCTACAATCTCTGTGGCTTTTCTCTGCAAGTTCGCCAAACGAGAGCTACCGAGCTTCAGTGCCCATGTGCAGAACAACACTGGTTCCAGGGCAGATCTGGAAGTTTCTCGGCCAGGCGCCGCTGCTTCCGCCCGTGTGGCTCTGGAGGCACGAAAGTCCGAAGCGTCGGGAGATCTCCCTTAGGGCGCTCGCAGTCCGCGGGCCCGAGAAGACGCCCACCACGGATCGTTGCCCAAAGTCGCAGGCCAACAAGGCTCAGCAGATTCTCCCGCTTCTTGTGGCGTCCCGTCATGCGGGCTGCAGACCTATGGTTCTCTGCGAAGACTCCAGCAAGCCCAGAGGGAGTTGGGGGAGCTTCTCCTTCGTCGCGGTGCCATCGGTATCCTTGGCTTCAGGAAGATCAGGAAGAAGCCTCACTCCCTGCGTTCTTGGTGTCCTTGCTACTGTAGTTCGCGAGAGAACAACAACGACAACAACAACGACAACAACAACAACAACAACAACAACAACAACAACAACAACAACAACAACAACAACAACAACAACAACAACAACACAACAACAACAACAACAACAACACAACAACAACAACAACAACAACAACAACAACAACAACAACAACAACAACAACAACAACAACAACAACAACAACAACAACAACAACATTTTTGCATTGCACTCACTGCCAGAATCAGCATGTGGACCTCTGATCACTTTGGATCCTCGGCACGTCGGCTACTCTGTATCCGCCTTGGGAGCTCCAGCAGTCTTTGCTAGTTCGTACTTCACGCCCCTCGGGGCTGCTGAAGATTGTTGTGCACAGCTATGTTCGAGTATGTGGAATGCATCCGCCCCTCGGGGCTGCGATAGCGCTGTGCTGGCTGGGCACCCTACGACCGCTTCCTACTGGCTCACCTGCACCCGCGACTGCTGCAGTGCCGGCTGGCCCCGATGTTGTGTTGCAGGCTATAGCTGTGCGCTAGCTGAGTTTGGTGTGATTAAGGCGGGCAAGGGTGATATAGAAGGTCTCACCCGCCTTTGTTATTTCACAGTCCGGCCTTTTGGACTTCGGGAGGATCGCTTCCTCCAGATTGCCAGGTCTCACTACCTGCTATACTGAATCTGCTTTGGCAGAGTACTTAAGGATATTCAGGAGGAAACCTCCTGACCTGATGCAATGAATCAATGAAGAAATTGAAGTTGGCACGGAGGCAGCCACCGATATCAAGTACTCAGCACTGCAAAAGAGTGAAAAATAAGCGCGGCTACCCCGACACCCTACTGTGAGTCACTGCGTCCAGCACCCACGCACCAGCTGTTTAGCGAGCCGTACCTCTGGTGAGGCCGACACTCAGCGTTCCCGTCTAGTGACGTCTCACACAGGTAACGCTAAACAACTGGCAGAGGGCCGTAGGCAGAGCGCACCAAGGCGGCCTGGGACGCCTTGCGCGGCTCCTGGGGCCAGCGCTGCGACAGGGCAAAATTTCACACCTGATTGTTCAGAGCATCGGTTGACGTCAGCCAAATGCAGCCTGCATCACGAGCGGTGTGCTCTGCATGGGGTAGGTGGGTGGGATCCCCATTGTGCAACACAGACTCAGGCAAGATTTCTTCCTCATAGCCGCTGATGGTCACAAAAAGCCATCTGCTTTTGTTGCAAGGCTAGACAAGTGATATTGCAATCCCTTGCTGAAGAAGCTCCATTGCACTTTAATGTATGAAGAAGGTCTCAAGAAGATGAAAGATGCGAACAACATGGGAGGAAGCCTCCTAATGAAAGAAAGAAAGAGACACTATTATCAACCTCTGTGCTAAATGGAGTTCTGCCATACTAATGCATGGCTTAGTCGAGCTGAGAGTTGCACCTTCAAAAGTGCCGATTTAGGTGTTGAAAAGTGTACAGGGAATCGGCGAGGTGCAGGAAGGGGAGGAAGCCTCCGGAGGTAGCCTCCACTCATTCTGTGAGTCCTGCCGAAATTGTGGTCCACTGTGCGATCGCTATGTTCATTTCCGCATCCTCTGCAAAGAACTCATCACGCACCTGCCCAACCTCTTGTTGATACTGAGCGTCAAGATGCGGCGGAAGCATGCTTGAGGTATACCGGATAATGTGCGTCTCACGATAGAAGCTCTCTAGTTCGGTGAGGATCACGCTGTAGTACCACGTTCCTTGGGTGGTGGGAAGCTCGGTGAACCTCATCAGGCTTAAGTATCGTAGGCTGATGCTCCGCAACTTTTGGCGCCGGGCCGCCTTGATTTCACGCCATTCATCATATCCGGTCAATGACTGTACTGCCCAAAGCAGTGTCTTCAACCTCTCTGCTTGGAGCACCTCATGTGCGTAGTTCATGAACTGAGCGAGGATTTTCACCTTGTGAGTGTAGAGATACTCCGCAACCCTTGTGCTGGTAGTCTCGGAGGAGATGTTCTGGTCCTCTGCAACTACCTGCTGGTGCACGAGAGCAACCAGGAGCGGAGTGAGCGCTTGCACCAAGCTAGTGCTCTCCATTGGAAACACAGGTGTTGATGGCTGGATTCGAGGTTAGAATGGCTACTGCCAACGGAAGTGTGAAGCGGTTTCTTATGTCAGGCAGGCATTGACCATTGCTAACAAGCATGCAAGGGCTCTAGCTGAAAGCTGCACAGCTCCAGAACAAGGAACTGCAGAAGGAAGTGCCTGCCACTGCTTGTGGACTTCGCGACGCTAAGCTCACCTGGGCAATGTGCAGGTGGAGGGTGGGGAAACTCCTCTTAGAGCATGCAAAGAGAGACAACTCGTTCAGGCTGTATCAAAGTCTTTGTTGCCTTAAGCAGAGGGCGTACATGCTGTCTACTTTAAAATGAAGTGGAGGAATCCTCCGGAGGAAGCCTCCCACTGCGAAAGTAGACCACGGCAGAACGAATTCGGTACAGGTGAAACTGCTGAGGACGCTTTAGAAGGGCAGAGACTTGCCTGTGTGCCGATCTATGACAGTGCTGATGTGGGACAGGTCAATGGGTCCACGCGTCAGCAGTACTCCATTCTTCGCCCGACGCACTTTGTGTCCACTGTCGATCAAAGACGGCAGGTGGATCCAGATCTCCACTGAGGAGTCCTCCCTGAATCCTGCAGTTTTGGTTGGTGACAAAGACATATGTATGTCACGTCTTTGCATTCTGCGCAGCTGAGAGGAGCGAATCTGCTGCCAGGCCCGCCAGCTCGTCCCGTGGACACCCCACTCCGGTGTTGTTGAGGAGGTCAGAACCTCATGCAGTTGATCGTCGTCCAGTGGGATGTCACGACCATGACCCTGTAAGGCTCTGATGTAGATTTCACCGTCTTCCTCTGAGATCATCTGCTCCATGCGGACCTTCTGTGAGGTTTCCAGTACTCGCTGTACTTCATGAACTGTCACTTCAGCCCGCCAGAATTGCCTGGAATTAAGAAGGCTTTTCAGATTGGCATAGCCAGCAGTGTCTAGCGAAATGCCATACTTCACTGGGTCATGTCTGAGAGCCTGTGTGAGGAGCTTGCCTATCATCTCTCGTCTGGTTTCGTGAGCGCCCCGTCCAGAGAGCCGATCAAGATTACCATCCAGATCTGCTAAACTTGGTGATTGCTGAGTTGCTGGCTGCCAGGCATGCTCTCTTCTGCCTCCCTCTTGATGCTGTGGGACTTCTTGATGAAATGGATCCTGTAGATCTGTGCCTGCGGAATCAGCAGCTGGTGACCAAATCCCCCAGGATTCATCACTATCATCTTCGGGCTGATGCAAGGAGGTCGGCAGAGCGCTTTGGTCAGAGGCCATTGCCTTGTTTCCTCTCCCAGGAAGAGCTGCGGCCTGCCAGGTGGAGTTATCATCATCTTGAAAGACAGCTGATTCCTTGGCAGGTTGGGAGGAGGATCTTGGTGGATTTCTGTATGAACTCGGCTCCTCCGGTCTTTCCCTCGCTATGCGTTGAATTGGGGCAGCTTCCGCAAGGGGGTTCCAGCCAGTCTGCACATAGGTCCCCAAAGGCAGTGAGTCTGTGATGTGAAGCAACAGCGCCTCGAGCTGGACGTAGTCTTCCCTGAGAATGTACTGATCCGTTGCTTTGGAGCCTCGGAGAGATCCTGCAGCCTGGTCGAACGACACTGCTAATTTGGCCGCAACTGCTCGTAGAGACTTGTTGCCTTCCTTCAAGATGGGAAACCATACATGCGTCACATATGACTCCGCCTTGCGCTCATGCCTGCCGGAATGGATGTAGACTCCTGGGTAGCCCTCGAAATATTGTTCTCCTTGAGAGGAATCCTGGGACGGTTGCAACTTTCCTAAATACAGGATCGAGTAGAGCGATTCCAATTTTGTCCCATGATAGCCCACTCTGTCATCCGTGCCGGTGCGTCTCTGAACAACATCTCTTAGGGGGAAGCGCACCCAGTCTTCCTGCATGACAGGATCTCCCAACTTTGCAGTCAAATCTGAGTTGCTCGGACCTTTACGCGTTCTCAGAAATGTGCGGATAAATATTTTGGCCTCCTCCATGACATCCTTAGTCGGATCCAGTTGTTCACGCTCCTTGTGACGCTTGTTCCATGCATAGCGGCTCTGGACATGAGTGCTGGTGTTCCAGTCTGATGCCTGCCCACTGGCCCTCTGATCAAAATCAGGAACCAGAAAGGAAATGGATTCAGCTTGTTCTGGAGTTCTTTCGGAGGAAACCTCCGCGGAGGAAGCCTCCGCTCTCGGCAGGAAAGTGACAGGCTGTGAGGACGGAGCTGCTTTGGCCTTCTTGCCTCCTCTGTTGTGGTTCGGCTTACGCCGGGCCTGGCGCTGTGCGTCCCGCCAGCTCAGTGGTTCCTTGCCTTGTTGCTCTCGCCTTCTATTTAAAGCCTCAAACTCATCATTCGTCAAATCACGCTCCATGTTGAGGGCCTGATCCTATTGGCTTGAGAG